ATAGATAGATAGATAGATAGATAGATGTTGCAGTATCTATAACAACCCAAATACACAGGATTTCAAAATTAAACATCCCCAGTTATTAATTTAATACACTCACCACATCTGAACGCCCTTAAAAAAACTTCACACCCATGAGTAGAGGTAATGCAGTCTGATAATATTTACACCGCATCAGATAGCGTTCCCCCCATGTTAAGCAGGGGAACTCTATCTGACGGGGTTTAGAAGCCCATCAGAATTAAAAATAGTGTACTACAAATGAAGTGAGTAAATGACGCCCTCTGAGATTTTTTTGTGATTATTTATAATTAATAATCGATCTTGATCTCACATTGGAGAAATTCGACCCATTTGGGAAGCAGTGGGCTGCCACTATGTGGGGTTAAAGGGCTGGTTATACCCCCACACCAGTGTGTTGCAGGTATAAAGCATATATTTTTGATTTATGCCCGATTTTGTTATTCCACGCCACAACACAAGAGGGACAATAATGAACTAGCTAGTACTGTGGGTGTGGTGGGTGGCTTTATTATCTTTGATTTAACAACAATGGCGACTGGACCAATGCGCACTTTGACTGAGATGCAGCTGATCGATCTAGAAATAGAAGAACTTTTGGTACTGGAGCTGGAAGAGAGGCAAAAGAAGCGTCGCTGAAGATAGTCTGTACGATCTTTGAATTCACACTATGGTGGACGTCAGAGCCTACGGACATCAGAGCGATGGTGGGGTGTTCAAGGAGAGTACCTTCGGGTCCTTGCTACTCGATCAGAAGCTAAACCTGTCCCCACCAGCTGACATTCTCTGGACCTTGGTGAAGACACCCCATTTTGTTGTTGGTGACGCAACTTTTTCCCTCCACTGCAACCTCATGTAACCATTTCATGGTATGTACGTGATCTACAAGTCTTGAAGTTGCTTCGCATAAAAGCAAAATGTAATGTTATGTAACATAATGAACGATGTGCTGCATATCCTGGCATGGTTCAGTGGAAATGCTAGAAATATGTAATGTATAGTTGTGATGCTTTATAAACAAAGTCTGTGCTCTACTGCATTTCAACATGGTTATTATTTCAATCTTAATGCAATGCAATGATGAGTGCTTCATTGTCTCCCTCCCCCGTTTCTTCTCATGCATCTGCCTCAAGACAAGCAGATCTAAAATAACCGACACAGCAGGGCAAGACGGGTTATGGAAAACATCTTTGGCATCATGTTGCACAGTGGACAATCCTCAGACAGACAATTTAGTTTTTCCCCAACAAAGCTGACGATGAAATGAAAGCGTGTTTGGTGCTGCACAACTACCTTATCCACACAGACGAGGTGGCATGCCCATGCTACATACACTCCAGCTATCCAGACCTGGAAAGAGCTGCGTCTGTGAGTCCTGGTGAGTGGCGAGCCAAAGTAACTAGGGCTCCCTATTGACCCCTCAATAATGTCCACAGCTCACGCCACTAGAGCATCTATGGCAACGAGGAGAGACCTCATGTCTCTCTTCCAGACAGAATGTGGATCTTTGCCATAGCAGAACGAGGTGGTGGACTTGTGGTACACTTGGAACACTTGAAGAGTTATGGCCCTCAGTAATGACTTTTCCCAACTCTTACACACTGTGGTTTTTTTTATTTTAAATTGCTTGTATGTTTTTTAATGGTGTTTGATGTTTCATGTTTAACCAACCATTTAAGAAATTTGGCATACTATATGATTTTCAGAATAATAAAATAGATACATTGTGTCCATGTATGCCCCCAAAGGGGCTTGTGCATATCTGCGTTAACCGTGACACACACGCAGACCACCTAGTTTCTGAGTACAAAACAGCAGTAAGGGTCTTTGCTCAGGAAGCCAGTGTGCAGACTGCGGGGATCAATGCAGGTACTTGCAACCTTCTCAGAGCCCAAGGGCACTGCTCTAATCCACTAGGCCACCCCCAAAGTTCTTTAAAGTAATGTGTTATTCTGTGATGTAAATCATCATATACACACAATTGATCCTCAAATGTTAGATCCACTTTCATGTGGCTCCAGCTTCAAATGTTTCCCACTACTTTCAAACCACCACAACTTAATGCTGTTAGTATCTTACCTGGAGGCTCCTGCACTCTATCACTCTGCTCCTGATCGTTTTGCTGCTGTTCGTTCTTCTGCTGATCGCTCTGCTCCTGATCGCTCTGCTCCTGATCGTTCTGCTCCTGATCGCTCTTCTCCTGATCGCTCTTCTCCTGATCGTTCTGCTCCTGATCGTTCTGCTGCTGTTCGTTCTTCTGCTGATCGCTCTGCTCCTGATCGCTCTGCTCCTGATCGCTCTGCTTCTGATCGTTCTGCTGCTGTTCGTTCTTCGGCTGATCGCTCTGCTGCTGATCGCTCTGCTCCTGATCGCTCTGCTTCTGATCGTTCTGCTGCTGTTCGTTCTTCGGCTGATCGCTCTGCTGCTGATCGCTCTGCTCCTGATCGCTCTGCTGCTGATCGCTCTGCTGCTGATCACTCTGCTCCTGATCGCTCTGCTGCTGATCG